TGTACTTCATTTGCATTTAATTCTTTTTATTTATTCTCTCTCTCTCTCTCTCTCTTTCTTTCTTTCTTTCTTTATTTGACATAATTGTTTTTTGTTCTTCATTAAATTCTGTTTTTCTATTTTCATTATTTGTTACTATTCACATGATTTAATTCATCATTCTTTCTTACTTTCATTCTTTTATGTTTCTTTTCCATTTCCTTCTTTATTTCCGTCACTTTCTTTCTTTCTATTGTGAGACCGGAAACTACTTACACAATAGACTCTTCCAGGCCTATATTAAGTAGGCGACATAGCACTCTAGACAGTGACAGAGAGTGACAGTGAGAGTCTAGTACGACTACCAGTATTGGACACTAACTTATAGTAAGCTCCGCTTACCCTATCTCTGTAACCTGTTGTTAATATATCTTTCTTACATCTAATCCGTGTTTTCCTTCTGTGGTCCCAACTTTGGCCCCACATCGCTTTCTTTCTTTCCCATGTCGCTTCTTTCTTTTTTCATTCTTTATTGCATTAGCTTTCCGTTCCTTACTTCCGGTTTTTTCTTATTGTTTTCTTTATTTCAGGGAACTTTTCCATTTGTTTCATTATTTTCTTTGCTTTTCTTTTTTTCGTGTGGAGAAATATTTTTCTTTTCTTTTTTCATTCCTTCTCTTTCTTTATTTTCTTTCTTTCTTTATTTTTTCCTTTCTTTCTTTTACGTAACTTTCTTCATTATGTTCTACTTTTTATTCCCTTTTATTTATTTTTTCTTTATTTAATTCTCGTTCTTTTGCTTTTCGTTCATTATTTCATTTATACCCTCCCATTTTTTCTGCCATTCATTCCCATGACTTTTTCTTCACGCTTTTTTATTTCATTTTTCTTTCTTTCTTTCTTTCTTTTTTCAATTCGTCTGCTTTTTTATTTATTTTGTTCTTCATTACTTTTGTTTTTCTTTCACGCGCCTTTTTCTTTTAAATCTTGATTTCATTCGGATTTCTTTCTCTCTTCATCGGTTTTTCGTTCGCATGCATTTTCTTTTCGTTCTTCCTTCCCCCTTGTTTTCTTTTCTTTGTTTGACGTGTTTTTTTTCTTCTTTTCATTCTTTCTACTTTCTTTCTTTATTTATTTACTTTTTCCCCCTTTTATTTTCACTTCAGCAAAAAGTTGCTTCACTGGGATGATCACATTTAAAATGTTTCTTTTTTTTTTCGTCCTTTTTTGTTTCACATCAATTTCTTGCTTCATTCATTCATTCATTCTCTTACCTTTTAAATCATTAAAATGAAACATAATTTCAAAAAAATAAAAAAGAAATTAACTGGACACTATAAAACACCAAACAATATACGGCAGGCCAACAGATCTCCCTGTATGGTACCTCTTTTAATCAGTGGAAAATTACGACCATACTTCGCATTTGAGCAACCGTAGCCTGTATGAAAAAGAAGCATTGTCTAAAAAGGCAGTATATGCGTTTTTTATAGTGCTTAGGCGATCATGTATCTTTCGATAGATGACTGACAAGGCAGATTGTAGGTTGCCGTTTCTTTCTGAGAAAGACCAGTTTCCATCCAAGTCTATAGAACCCAATCTGCCCTGCTAAGTACCCATAGCTGGGGAAGAAAAAGAAGATTCACACCTTTCTCAAGGCTGCCATGATACATGCTTAGGCCATCATGTATGTTTCGATACATGACTGAAGAGGCAGATTTTGTTCCTGCAGTAGGTTGCAATTTTTTTCTGCGGTAGACCAGTTGCTATCCAAGGCTATAGAACCCGGTCTGTTCTACTATTTACCCATAGCTGGGGGGAGGCGACAGCGAAAAAGAGGATTCGTACCTTCCCAAAGGTTAGTCAATCAGTTATGTGCCATGCGTGATACACGCTTAAGCTATCATTAATAATTCGATACATGACTGACGAGGCAGTTTTTTCCGCAGTAAGTTACCGTTTCTTTCTGCAGTAGACCAGTTGCCATGCAAGTCTATAGAATCCTACCCATAGCTGGGGGAGGAGAAGAAGATTCGTACTTTTCCCAAGGGTCAGTCAGTCAGTTATGTGCCATGCGTGATACACGCTTAGGCAATCATGTATCTTTCGATACATGACTGACGAGGTGGATTTTTCCCACAGTAGGTTGCCATTTCTTTCTGCGGTAGACCAGTTGCCACCAAGGCTATAGAACCCAGTCTGTCTTGCTATTTACCCATAGATGATGGGGGAGAAGAAGAGGATTCCTACTTTTCCCAAGGCTATTAGTGCATAAATGAATGCAATGAATTCGACTCGAATTCGAAGTCGGCTTTAAATACCAAGGAATATTGCATACTGTGAAGGCTAGTTATCGCTCAATATCAGATATGCTTCATTTTCGGAAGCCTATTGATATACGGATTTAAAAAAAAATTAATGTGAATATCTGCGTACGTGCATGTCCCAGGCAAACGCAATTGAATAGGCTTTATGTTGCACCATAAAAATGTATTTATCATTTCGCTAGTCCAACTCCTGCCAAACACGCTGTAGCATGTCTTGCGTAACATTCTCCAGTGCCCCAGTGATTTTCTGTTTAAGTTCCTCTAGGCTTGCAGGAAGTGAGGGATATAGACATGTCCTTTCACATGGCTCCATAGAAAAAAAATTACTTGGTGTCAGGTTAAGTGAACGTGGTGGCTATTTCAACAGCACATTGTCATTATTACTGCCACACTCGATCCATCTTCTTGGTAGATTCTCAAGACCATCAACTTTGTACACATTTTGTTTGTTATGAGATCATTTGAGCGAGAATTGACTGTTATTAGACGACAAAGCAATTCATCCCAAGCAAGGCGGGAGTGCAACTAGAACGCAAGGGGTTATAGAGGATTGAGAACAAGAATAAAGAGACATGTTTAAGGAAAGGGAACAGAGAACGACGGGCAACAAGATCAAGGCATCAGATGACGATTGACATTACACTTAAATATTTGAAGATTATAGTTATCGGGGTAGCAAGTAAAGGGAAAGGAGTTCCACTGTCGGGAAATGCGAGAGATGATGATGATGGAGTAGAAGAGGCGGTTACATTTAATCGTTTTAACAGTGAAAGAGTGGGACGGTGATGTCAGCCTAGTAGCTCGCTTAAATTCATTCATTCTGGGAAGCCTCGAGTCTCTTCTTCAGCTTTGAGAAAATTTTCCAACATTCGCTGCCGTAAAAAAGGAGAGATGTCACGTAACAGCTCAGTATTCTTTTCTTTATTACCAAAAAAAATCCTCCTGTCTCGCAATACTCTACTCAGCTTTTGGAATGTGTCCTTGGCCATCCCAATATGTCCGATCCCTGATATCCTTAACATCCTTCTGTAGAACCACATCTCTGTCGCCTCGAGTCTCTTCTTCATCTTTGAGGAAATCATCCCACATTCACTGCCGTAAAGAAGGACAGATGTCACGTAACAGGTCGGTATTCTTTTCTTTGTTATCAAAGAAATCCTCCTGTCTCGCAATACTCTGTCCAGCTTTTGGAATGCGTCCTTGGCCATCCCGATCCATCTATGGATCTCAGTGTCACACTTACCGTCCTCTGTCAAGAGGCTTCCCTGATATTTAAACTTCTGCTTGATGCTAGTGTTCCTGACTTACAAATCGCATTTACGGCTCGTCCTCTTACTGGTGACCATATTGTTAAGATTAAGCACACTTGGTAGAGTCTGGTTCCCTTAGATGTAGAGGTTGAATAAGTCTGGGGAGAAGACGATCCTTGTTTCAAGACCCTTTTTCTTTTTCTTTCGCTACTCTGTTCATTTTCACTATATGCTATATATTTGTTATAAAATAAAATGACATATCTCGGCTGATTTACAGGCAAATACTCAAGAGCGAGAACCGGATGTGAACGGGACAAAGCCCCGTCACAAAATGACCATTTTCTTTCTTTACAAATGTTTCCGACACACGTGTCCCGGTCGAAAAATAAAATAATAATTAAAGTGCTCTATTTTTCGTCCAATAAAAATGCTTCCCTCCTAATTATACTCGCTTCGTTTCTCGAGCCTGTTAAGCCATATAAAAAAAAAACGCTATAAAAGGGGTCACAGGGAAGTTCAGCGGCAGTCAACAGGTGGCCACAAAGGAGACCGGTCACGTTCAGCAGCTGTCAACAGGAGAGCGTCAACCACCGTCAACATGTGTGAACTACTATGAGAGATCGACCATATCCGAAAGCCGGCTTATGAACTTTACCACACCAAGGTAGCTGTCCTAAACCCTTACGTTCCTGTTGAAATAAACCACGTAAATCTATTTCTACTGTTGTCGTATTTCTTTCTTGCAACCATACGCTTGTCTATAACATATTCCATTTATTAGTTTCGTAATCTTGTAAACGCCGAAATTACGCTAATCGCATGCCTTTTACAATTCCACATCTCCCTGTTCCTTTGTTGCGGTTCATCTTGGCCAGTGATGATCTTACCTCAGACTTTGTTATTTCAGGTCCTTCCATATTGTTGTCCCCGTTCGTTGGGAAAGTGTTCTCCAGTGTATCCATTCAATTTTGAAGGATATTTTTTATCCATTATTTGAAATAAATGAGACAAAGAACTATGTAATTAGTAGGCAACTCGCATGAAGGTTTTCCTCAAACATTTTTGTCAATTCACACTGATTTTAATTACAAATTACACTCGAACTAGAAATTTGACATAGAATTGCCTATTCTTCCAGTTAGAGCAATTTAGAATTACCGTAACACCGGGTTAAATAGAAAAATCAGGCATAGCTGATCATATATGGAGGGAAAAGGAACCCCCCCCTGTAGGATGAGGTTGAAATAATAGACAGTGAACATCAGTGGAAAATACGAAAACTTAACGAATCAGCGTATACAATATGGAAACTAGTAATACAGAGTGCTATTGAAAAATAATAAGAAAGTGTAATATGAGCTCTGGTAAAAAAAAATTGTAGAGATACACTGATGTCCCCAAAGACACGTGGACAAATGGGTAAAAGCGTCGGTTGAAGTAATCCAGGCACAAAGAGTTGTGAGTTCAATAACGGAACAAAAACTTAGAGAATTGAGTTATTGAAGGGAAATAACTGAAAATAAGATATCCAGAAAAGGCGCGACACGTGGAACTAGAACAATCTACCGCGGTGGATGAAATAAAGGGTTCGATTCGAAATTCCAACGTATATCACCGGAAGAAGGCCCTAGCGTACAATGGCCGAAACGTCGTGAATTTGACAATAAACAGGACAATAGCTCGAACAGTGTATTAGAATAAGTTTTTGCAGTTTTCCAACAGATGGCGTTCTCAGAACTGCGAGCGTGTACTTTCAGATGGTAACGCATCTATAAGGAAGTAATATAAGCAAGCTTGACGTTCAGTGAATGTCATTTCGCCAAAGTGTAAACAACTTTGCTATTCATAGCGTTAAACATGTTGCATGTCGTGCCAAAGAAAGTTTCTTTGAGGGTAATTTTACTGCACTACTTTATTCAAAAGAATTCCGTAGCTGAAGCGAGCAGAATTCTTGTTGACATTTATGGCGACCATGCTCTATCGGAAACAGCATGCAGATTTAGAAGCTTCAAAAATAATGATTTTGACGTTGAAGATAAAGAACGCTCTGGCGTACGGGAAAAGTTTGAAGACGAAGAATTAGAGGCATTACTTCATGAAGACTCATGTCAGGCAGAAGCTAAACTTGCAGAATCATTTAGAGTTGATCACGCAACAGTTTTGAAACGTTCGAAGACATTAGGAATGATTTAAAAGCAAGGATATTGGGTGCCTTATGAGTTTGCATCTTATCGTTACCGGCGATGAAAAATGGATAGACTACGATAACCCTGAGCGTAGAATATCGTGGGATAAGCCGAGCCATGCATCAATATCGGAAGAAAAGCCGAATATCCATTGTTCGAAGCTTCTGCTCTGCTTTTGGTGGGATCAGTTGGGTGTAATTTATTATGAGTTGCTCAAACCGACCGAAGCCATCACGAGAGATCGCTATCGACTACAATGGATGCGTTTGAGCCGAGCATTGAAGAAAAAAAACGGCCGCTATACGAGCAGAGAAACGTCAAATTGTTTTTGCGACATTACAACGCTAGGCCACATGTTGCCAAACGGATGAAAACGTACTTGGAAAGTACTGTCCCCATCTGCTGTATTCCGAAGACATTACTCTGTTCCGATCGATGGCAGCAGTTTCATTCTAATGAAGATGCCAAAAATTGGGCGGAATCGTGATTAGCCTCAACAAACGTGACGTTTTATTTTGTTTTGTTTTTTGACGTGGAATTCAAATGCTGCTAGAAAGATGAGAAATAGTAGTGGCTAGTGATCGGCAATACTCTCAGTGACATGTTTCTTACTAGTTTTTATAAAATCATGAAAAACTCAGCAAGAAATTATTCAAGGTCCTAATAAATAGTGTAACCATTTGCTCTGCGATGTACAGTTTAGATCACCTCACGGTAAGAAACGCGTAAAACATGAAGAAATCGTATCATTATTACATAAAAGCTTGGAGAGATTGACAAATACAAGATATTAAAGAAAAGAGAGGAAACTACCTTTGTGTAGTATGAAAGGTTTGTGTAAATGAATGGCAAAACAGGAATAAAGATTGCTTAGAGTTATGAAGAGAAGAATTTGAAGAAGAAGAGGAATTTGAAGAAGAAGAGGAATTTGAAGTAGATGAATTTGAAGGAGAATTTGAAGAAATTAAAGAATAATTCGAAGAAGAATGTGAAGAAGAATTTGAAAAAGAATTTGAAGTCGATGAATTTGAAGAATGTAAAGAAGAAATTGAAGAAGGATTTGAAGAGGAATTTGAAGCATTTGGAAAAGAAGAAAAAGAAAAATAAGAAAATTTGAAGAACAAGAATTCGAAGAAGAATTTGAAGAATTTGAAGAAGAAGAATTTGAAAAATTTATAGAAGAATTTTAAGAAGACGAAAAAGAGGAAGAAGAAGAAGAAGAAGAAGAAGAAGTAGATGAATTTGAAGAATGTAAAGAAGAAATTGAAGAAATATAGGAAAATTTGAAGAATTCGAAGAATTCGAAGAAGAAGAAGAAGAAGAAGAAGAAGATGAGGAGGAGGAGGAGTAAAATGCACTTTTGCAATTCTGCGTAAAATCAGACATGTGTGCACTAGGAATATCTAATAGAACGCATTAACGTCTATCAGGAATAGCGCTGTTGCCGACCGAATTCTATGATCCATGTTCCTTCAAGACTAGAGCGATAATGGCTCTCCTCTGCACAACTTCCTATCCTTCGTGGTCTTTTTGATCCCTCAGTCTCTTCTGTCAGTAATTTTCAAAAGTCCGTTAGGTAGCTTACTCGCTAATAACCCCTGTCCCGATTGTCTTCAGTATGCCTTATGAGTGTCAAATTTCACAATCCCTCTTTCCTCATCTTGTGTCGTAATAATTTCAGTTGACTCTCTCTCTCTCCCCCTCTCTCTCTCTCCCCCCCTCTCTCTCCCCTCTCCCCTCTCTCTCTCCCCCCCTCTCTCCCCTCTCTCTCTCTCCCCCCCTCTCTCTCCCCCCTCTCTCCCCTCCCCCTCTCTCCCCCCCCTCTCTCTCCCCCCTCTCTCCCCCCTCTCTCTCCTCTCCCCTCTCTCTCTCTCCCCCCTCTCTCTCTGTCTATTTCCCATTCCCACATGTTCAGTTCATTGTATTCTCATCATCCTTCTGTAGAACTATATCGCTGCTGTCCCAAGTCTTCTTCATCTTAGTCCTGGATATGACGATAGACTTCATCCGGAGACAAGGCTTCTGATTGAATGGTTGGAGGTTTTCAGGAACGTGGAACCACGTCTTAATTGCTGTTGTTCTCAGGTCCTTTATGACTCGGTGTAGTAGCAACAGTTAGGGTCCCAACTATGGGTAAATAGTGAACGCCCAAACAAAAATAAAACACTATGAAAGTATAAAAATACATTTTTTATAGTAAAAATACCAGCAATACATTTTTATATAAAAAAATACAACAAAACATATCTATAGTAAAATGACCACCAATACATTTTTAAAGCAAAATAACCAACAATGTATTTTATAACAAAACTAGCAGCATGGCCCGGCGTTGCCCGTGCTTGATTAAAAAATCGTACGACTCATACAGCAATCGTTATCACTTGACTTAAAATATTTTGCCCTTCCTTGCCTTTAAAGGCGTGTCCTTTGCTGTGCTGATGTTGCTACATGCCTTACTTCTTGCCTATCTCACACTGCGAATTTTTTCTAAGCTCTATACTAAACATTAAATCTGTTGCGAAAAATGAACACAAAACGATCAGCTTTAAAAAAGGACTCGTAACTGGAAAAAACCGAATGATTAAAGAATGTTAACAACAAATACTTTTTTAACCCAACCCAGTTCTGCGGAATCAGAATCAACGTTGAGTTTAAGCAAGCGAATGAACCAATTGGAGTAAAGTGCCATGCAGATTTAAATTTTTCCTAATTGTGACGAATGCAGCTATCGATTTTTTTTTTTTTTTTGCATGCTAGCATGCTAGTTTACATTCGTGTCAGTAAGCTCTTGGCTCTCACGTTGGCCAATAGAATCTTCCTGCCTATTCGTGGCAGCCAGCTATAGGCTCTCACCCTGGCCAGTACAAAATGGTAGCAAACTATATGAAAATTGCCGTAGAAACATGAAAAAATCGATTATTTCTACTATCGATGGGAGTTGGGAAATGTAAACTCGGTCTTGGCCTTTCCGCTAACTTGGAGCATGTGCATGTAAATTTTGGTGCAAATCTGTCGAAAATTGCGGCCGTGCATTCGTTACACACACACACATACATCCTGCCTTTTATAGATAGAGATGACCAGCCATACATTTTATCTGAAGCTGAATGTATACAAATGCATTCAAAATATATTTACTTGAAGCTAAAAAGTTGTGTACAATATATCTAGATTTCGGCATTAAATAACCAACAGAGGTGTTGATATCTCGCTAAAAAATAGTCAACCAAGCAATCTGTTCAGTACACTTTTCTGTATTTCTTAACGAAACTTAGCATTTTCATGAGACTCATGTTATTCCAATTCGTCTTCACATTTCGTTGTGACGTCATCTGTTAAAAGAATTTCCAGACAGTTAAATCTTTGATACTGACATCTCCAATACACAGAACGGACCTTGGGTTGTTTGTCTTACAAATAGATCTTTATAAACACGTCTTCTTCAAAGTGCCGTGTCCTTTCAGGACGTGGGTGATCATGGATCTCCAAAATTTACTGACCTTTGTAGCTCTTAATAAATTTGGGCTTTTTATTATACCTCCTAAAGCATTTTTGTTATGTGGCTCATTATGCTAATTGCTAGATGAACTTCTTCTTCATTTGCACCTGGCTTCTTAGGCAGTGCTGTGAAGAAAGATTTCCTATGGTCTTCTGGTCTTTCACTGCTGTCGTATATTTCATTTATTATTTCATAATCTTGTAAATAATTTTGCCATCAATTTACAAAAGCTCATTAGGTAGGTTATGCGTTGTGTTCCTCTGTTCATCCCTTTTGTGAGTATCTAATTTTCTAAGCCCACTTTTTTCATGATGAGCCGTAGAAATTCTATTTTTTGTGTTAATTATAATGTTCTTTTCGTTTTAATTTTCTTTAAAATTTCACGTTCCTTGCATGTTCGATTCATGGTATTGCGAGAATGTTTTTGTAGAATCACATTTCTTGTTGCTTCAAGTCTCTTCTTCGTCTGCGAGGAGATTGCCCAGCATTCGCTACCATATAGGAGGACGGATATTATGCGACAGTTCCGTACTGATTTCTTAGTTTCTAACGAAATTTTCCTCTTTCTTAATACACCACTTTGCTTTCGGAAATCATCTTTCCCTATCCAAATTCGTCTTTGGATTTCGCTGTCGCACTTTCTGTCCTCTTTTTATATATATATATATATATATATATATATATATATATATAAAGAAAGAACAGTAAGATATATAATCCGGTGTTCTTATAGATATTTTTATTTTTACAAAATAGTGCTCAATGTAAATTTACAGAGCATTAATATTATAAATTAATTGATTTAAAATATGTTTTTTTTTCGCTACACAGTTCTAACCATGTTTCAAAAATGGAAGCTAAAAGCCCCGAATTCAATTTTGTAATTAAATTAAAGACATTAGTTCCATTTCATCCTCAAGCGAATTTTGGAGTAACTTTTAAAATTACTGGTTTTTAAATACACAGCTAAAACAACATTCAGGTAAATGGTGTTGCATTTTTACTGTTAAAACCGTAAGTTTCCTTGTATTTTTTGTTTTTTGGTTCATTCTTATTAAGGAAGAAGTAAGCTCTCCATCTCATCCTATGAATTCCTCTGTTTTTTTCCATATCACTAAATATTCCTTTTTGTTGATATTAGGAATGTTCTTCAGAGAAATTCCGAAATTTATTTCCTCCATATTTTAGAGCCTACTTCTGTGTAGTGAAAAAAACATATTTTAAATCAATTAATAATATAATTCTGTCACTTCACTGTATAAGTTGAATTATTCCTTGTCTGACATTAATTTTTATTTTTGTATATTTACTGAGTTAATTTTCTATCCATATTAAAGAGATTTTCTGCCGGTGAGAATTCTAGAGCAGTGCTACTCAAAGCAATGGTCCGCGGACCGGGCCCGGCACGCAAACCATCAGCTAAAGGTACCCGGCCAGTGTCCAGGCCATTCTAAGGAATCACTGGTAAAGATTAAGGTTATATAATTTGTGTTCAAAATATCTAGATTTTGGCAGTGAAGAAGAATTTGAAGAATTTGAAGAAGAATTTGAAGACAGCTTATCTTTTTTTTATTACTTTTTTATGTTTTGATTTTGAATTATTTTTTTTACAAAATAAATGGGAGATAAAAAAATAGTCAACCTTTATTATATTCATTGTATATCTCGTTTCCGGTGTAAATTGATATTACCACGAAATATTACAGGTACGTGACACATTAAGAAAACAAAATACCGGTCCGCCATATCAGATAGTTTCAGAGGCACTCTTCTAGAATATTCTAATATAATTCCATAATATATCAAAGATAACTATCAATTGCAACACAACTATTCCTGTTTTAATTCTGCTGCGCGCTCAATTCATCAGAATATATATATATATATATATTCATCATATATATATATATATATATATATATATATATATATATATATCGTTGCTAGGAAATCATCCATGTAAACAATCACAGACTATCATCACTGTCTTGTCCGTATATTACTTAATATGTTGTACAGTAATTGACGACTTTGATAATGGCTTATGTAAGCCGAAAGCTTACATTGGATTAAAAAACATGGATCAATATTGTGATTTTCTTTCTTCGTTTAGTGATAATGTTATTAAGCTTATCAGACCTTATGAAAAGAATTTACATAAAATAAATAGACAACACTTGTCTATATTATTTAATGAAACGTGTATGAATGAAAAAATGCTGTCTAAATACACACGATATATATGACCTGGCATCTCGTCTGCAGTCACTCTCTGACAGACGTGCCGTCGCCTATATCTGACTTTTTTACAAATACTTTCATTGTAATTGCTCCGATGAGCTGCTTTCGCTGGTTCCTAGACTTCACGAATTCAAGCGTTCTACGAGGCTGGCATCCCGCTGTCTCATTTTCACTATTGAAACTGTTAGATGTAACCGCCTCTTCTACTCCAATAGCTTCATATCTCGCACCTCTCGCCTGTGGAACTCTCTTCCCAATTCCAGTTTCCCTGGGAGCTATAATATCTAACTATTCAAATGTAATGTCAATCGACATCTCCAGTTGTCTTGATCGATCCACTATCCTTCTCCTCAACCTTTCCTCTATCACTCCTATCTGCTCTCGCTCTAAATCCTCTGTAGCCTCTTGCGTGATAGTGGCTCCCCGCATATATTAAGCATATATATATATATATATATATATATATATATATATATATATATATATATAACAAAGGGTGTCTATCTGTCTGTCTGTTTGTCTGTGTGATGCCTCTTCACTCGATATCCATCCAATTGATTTTAGCCAAACTATAATTTTTTAAATAATCAATAATCAATAAAGCCTATTAAAAATCGATAAATTCAACTTTTTTCATCCGATTTCGTTCGAACTCGGTATGTAGGTTACTCACATCATGACGTGCTCATCGATACCTTATTTTTATTTTTACGCCACTGCCTTTAGCGAAAAACCACGTAAAACGAAAAACCTATTTCAACAAAAAATCATTTCAACACAAATTTAAACTAAAAACTCCCTCAATTTTCAAGGAATCTAATACAAACTTCACTCAATTGTAGCCAACAATAAGTTGATTGTTTAAATGTCATTTAACCTGATAATTGTGTCCACACATATAGTGAAAACTCGCGTAAATAGCGAAAAATAGTGTTTTTAACTCGTTTCTTTCTTATTTTTCGTTGATCGTTCAACCAATTTTTATCAAACTTAACAATTGATGTCTAAATGTATCCTCTTTTGCATCCCTAGTAGCAAACTGACAAATTGAATTTCAAAAACTCCAAAATAATTGTAGTCTGAAGTGGGTCTTCATGTTGCCTGTTTTACCCCTTCATGTCCTCGGCTAACTTCGATTGAATAAA